CCTCATGGCATTAAAAATTGTTTTCTATGTTTGACGAAAGGGCTCACCCCCCCTTCTGCATAAGGGGAAAAAAGTAAAAAGAGAAGAGAAAAAAAAGAAAGATAAAAAGACCATCTACACAAATGAAAAGAAGTTAAAACCAGAGAGCAAAAGCAAAAGATTGAAACAATTAAAGGGACTCTCACTGTAAATTGAAAGAAATATTAATGATATTGTGCGGAAGGTGGCATCAAACACCTGATGATATTGCCCTTAATTAATAGCATCATTTTCACGAAGAATCAATTAAATAGAATAAGGTCTGCAAATTGCCTAAAGTAATGGATATTCTTCCCTGGGCGGATGTAATTATATGCAACGTTGTTGTTCCCCTATCCTATCTTTTACAAAATTGATGTGTCCTGCGGCCATGTCCCATACTTGTAGATCTGCCTGTATAAACACAGCCAGAAATTGAGTTGTTCAGACGCCTACATATTTACCCGTCTTTCCATTTACCAACTACATGAAAGAAACTACATCTTTCAATTCCACGCCATCTTGTCCATGATAATAAACGCTGGTATTTTACAAAGCTAATTCCTTTCAACCAAAATAAAACACTCAAATCGAAAGTAAAACAAAGAATCAAAACCTGAGAACCGGCAAGCTCCTCGAATTGCTTAACAAAATCCTCCATCCCTTCATTCTCAAACCCGAATCCTCCCCTCGACGGCGCTGTCCCCGCAGTGGCCGACTCCAACCCCTTCACCGCCTCCCTCGTCTGCCTCCTCAGCTCCTCCAGCGCCGCAGACGCGTGCGATTCTTTCAGCCTAGTCGCCGCAGACACTCTCTGCCTCCGCTCTCTGCTCTCCTTCCGTTTCCATCACTAAGAGAACAACAGAAGAGAGTATCGTCAACAACAGGAAGAGCATAGGGGGCTGGGCTAGGGTTAAGAGACGGAACCTTCGATGGGAGGAGAGATCGAGGGTCGAGAAGTCGTCGAGAGCGCCTGCGAAGAGAAGAGAGAAGATGAGTCACGAGGGGGTGCGAGGAGAGGGAGAGAAGGGGAGGGTTCGTTTACTGTCGAGCAGCTGGTCGAGGTCATCGGGGTTGGTGTCGGCCATGACGGAGCTTTGCTGGTTCGAGGTTCGGGATCGCAGGCGAGGCGAGGCGACGCGATATTTATGAGCAGCTTTTGTGAGAACCATTTAGGCCGGGGAGGATGGGTGGGAGGCGGTTGGTGGATATTTTGAGGGAAGACCCGGATCCGGTGCAGTAAAGCATTCCCATTTTTCAGTATTAGCCCCTTGCAAAGTTTAATAATGCTTTGAAATTAGGCATTCGAATCCTTGAAATTGCTGCCACATTGTGGTTGGAACTCTTTTTTTTTTTTTTGGAGAATAAATCACAAAAGGTTCAATGTATGGAATAACAGCCGAGATTTCATCATTTACATAAATTCTTTCCTTTTGTTATTCTTAATTAATTGAAGGAATTAATTTGAAATCAGTCAATAACAGACCTCATAGCAATTTCGATGATTTGGAGGACTAGTTCTAAAATCAACTTGCAAGTTGGAACTAGTTCTCAGTTTCTGATAACTCCTCTGATTTATGCAGACTCATCAATATCAACCTACTTAGAGAGGGCAAGAGCTAATTTAGCATTACAGTGAACTTTTTTTTTTCCTTTTTTGATGTATAAATTCTAATACCACCAAGTTAGAACCTGCTCTCAAAAGAAATAGATGGATAAACGAATCCTAGAGGCTTAGATGTTATTCCAACTAAACAATCCTGATTCAATCGCACCCAAACATGCAAGGATTGCTGAACAAAAACTTATATAATTGCCTAAGAAAAATGCGCTTTTTTACATCATTGCCTTCTCTACTATAAATGACATCAATCAGATTCTAAGGAATCACATCAAGATGCGAGCATCAAGTGCCAAACTCAATTCTGCTTATATCAATTACCAACATCATTCTGCTGCAACAACAAGATTTAACAAACAAATCCAGAGATCCCAGGGTGCCTAAACCTGAACAGTAGAGCCAAGTGGCACTCGGCCAGTGAAACAACAACAACAATGATGATGGTGAACATACAATAAAAAAAGAGATTAAAAACAAAATATTGTGTAGATCAAACAATGCAGGCCATGCGAGCAAAGATTAACTTCAGCCCCTTTATTCAAACACCAAAGCAGCATTTTGCAGAAAGAGAACTTTGACCCATCAAAAACAAAGGATTGACAGTGATGAAAAGTTCATCTTTGAACATGGAAATTTCTGTTTGAGAATTCACATTCGGAAGTATGAAAATGAGTCCTTAAATGCACCATTACCATAGTTTTGGAGAAGTGTACAGCTGAGCTATTTGTTCTTCCATTGCGAGAGGGTAGGGGTAAATCACCTTTGTCCTTCAAAGATCTTTGTACACCCCTTAAGAAGCAATACGCGATTTCTTGTATTTATAAATAAATCAAAAAATTATCTGTATAATGGTGCCGGACATGCTTTCATGTTAAAAAGACACCAACTTGATATTAAGGAACACAACCCGGGTATCCAACCCCAAACTATCGTACATAACCCATTTTGGAAGAAGTAGCAGATCATTGTAGTAGATTTCCGTGATATTGCTTCAAACCCAATCTTCTATACAACAGCCGTGACTTCTCTGGAGGGATTCAAATTCACCGCTAATACGTTGCAATCATTGCATAAAATGGCTAGGGATCAGAGCTCGACTTCCTGAAGTTCATCCCCAAGGGAACCACCATTAAGTTGCAGAGATGAGCTGCTGCTTGAGCGGGTGGATGGTGGATTCTGAGACAAAAAGTGCG